ATTATTATGGAGCACTTAGTAAATGTTAGGCATGTGTGAATTTGCTTCAGGGGGTCTGTGAAACTTTAGGCAAGCAGCCAATGAATTTGTGGGTCACTGTTCATTTCTGGGGAAGAAAAGGGACCCAGAAAAATGGGGAAGTACTTTTAAGTGGAGGTCAGGTCTAGCTGCATGGTTGAACCTAGAGATCTTATTGATTTACTTTGCTCACTAAAAAGTACAGTTACGGAGAAAAACATTGTGAACAGCACCCCTACTTCTCCTGGGGCCATTTGAGAAATATAGTAATCTAACCACCTAGAATTTAGGGTTACTTCCCAAACTCATGCACTGCTGGCACTGGGAGAAAATTGCAGGATTACCTTGGCTGAATTCATCAATTTACACTTGAGGATTCTAAATGGGATGGTTGAGTCTTGTGCTTTCTGGCAAAAACAGCAAAAAATGGAAATTTCACTGATATGAAAGTCCAGTCAGAAGAGCTGAGCCATCACCTGTCATTTTCCTGCAAATTTATCAGGATCAGTGAGATGTTGTGTATTGGAAGTGTTTAAAAGTGCATTACCATAGTGGGTATTATAAGTGCCATGGGCATCTGCTATGAGTGGTTGGATTAATTGGGTTCCTCCAGAGAAAAAACTAATGGGGACAAGAGTTTAAGGACTAGGCTCACATGAGGGCAGAGACTGGCATGTGTGAGGTGTGCAGTGCTGGATGGAGGTTGGAATGGAACCTGAGGTAATAGTTGATGCTGCAGTTCTAAGTCTAAAATCTGTTGGGGAGACCAGTAAGCTAAAGGCTCAGACAGGGTTTCTGTGTTATGATTTTGAGGGAGAATTTCTCCTTTAGGAAACTTGGTTTTGCTCCTAAGGCCTTCACTGTTTGGAAGAGTCCCACCTTCACTGTGGAGGGTAAGTCTACTTTACTTATAGTCAACTGACTGTACAACATTAGTCCTATTTATGTATTTTTTTATTTTTTAAAAAAAGGAGGAAAAACATTAACAGACAACCTTTTACAAAATAGCAAAAGAACAGTACAGACAATACAGAGTTACAAACAAAGTGGTAGGAAATTAACAATGCTTGTTGTATTACGTA